CTTCGACTCCTTTCCCACTTCCGTTTATTGGCAACTTGGCTAAAATAAAAACAGTTTTAGATAACCTAACTCCTTACAGTAAGACTATTCTTGAAGAATATTGGCATAATCACTTCGGCGAGACTTTGCCGCCAATTTTTAGTGATCATAGAACTCCAAACGGAGCTATTATTTTCTCAGATCCCAAATATGTTGAGGAAATATACACAACTAAATCAAAGTATATTGACAAGGAAGGCAAGTTCTAAAGAATCTTTTATAAGTTATTTGGAGATTCTAGTTTCTTTTCAAAGTCTAATAAGGTTTGGGCAACTAAGAGAAAGCATCTCTCAGCTGCCTTTTACAAAGATAAAATCAATCAAATCTTAAGAGGGGCAGTGGTTATTGCTAACAAAAGAGTTAAACTCTGGCTGAGATTAATTGAAGAAGGTGAGCCAGTTGTGAATTTGAACAAAGAAATGAATGATCTTATTGATGATGTAGTTTAGATATGCGTCTTTGGATAGTCATCACTTAAAAAATCACTAGTTTTCAAGAAGAACGGTTAAGAAACTGTAGTTTCCCTTGGTAGATTCATTAGACTTTTATCTGAGAAGATATTCTCAAGGTTTGCAAGTTTGTTCAGGCTATTTACTAATATTTTTGACTATGCAGCTCTCAATAAGCAAGAGAGAGAAGATTTTGATAATGCTAAATATCTAAGAGAGTTCACAAAGGGACTTATTGATGAAAGAAGAAAGGAAATGGAAAAACCAGACTTTTAATCATAAGGAGACTTCCTTACTTTAATCCTGCAAGATTCATACTTTTAAGATGACAAAGATATAATTGATGAAGTTATGGGGTTTATGACTGCATCAAATGTTACCACATCTATAGCTATGACAAATATCATCTTCTATCTTACAAAAAGTCAAGAATCTTTTAGAAAGGTAAGAGAAGAATTCAGATCTGTATTAAAGGTTGAAAAATCAGTAACAGCCTTAACTGATTTATAATGGGCTGATCTTTTGTCCTACGAGAACTTGAATATGTGCAACTATCTTATCTACTGCATCAATGAAACAATGAGGATTGATCCTTCATCAAGGCTATCAACTAACCATGTATTTACTGAAAAGATAACTATAGGTGGAATATCTATTCTCCCTGAAACTGATTGGCATATCAACTTCTATTATCTACAAAATAACCCAAAAGAATGGATTTAACCAGAACAATTCATTCCAGAAAGATTTGATCCTTAGAGCCCATACTACCTGACACCTGCTGGGAAGAAAAGAAGTACTTTCTCTTTTGGACCATTTTTCGGGGGTAGAAGAATTTGCTTGGGAAAAACATTTGCTGAAAATTTGATGAGATGCTTAGTCTAGGTCATTGTTAATTAGATAGACTTTGAATTTGAAGATAAGGAATTAGAAAAAAGAAAACCTATAAACTCAATGTTATAAGACGAACCATGCTTTAAGTTTAGATTAAAGAGATACAAATAAAATTGATTAAATAAAAACAAAGTTACTACGATTACTGAAATTATTTTTGAATTTGATTTTGATTTTAAATAATTTTCATATTTATATGATATTTTTCTAAGGGGTTTTGGGGTTTTGGGGTTTTGGGG